CCCGGGGGGGGGAGTGATCCCTGGGGTGAGTGAGTGATCCCTGGGGTGAATCCATGCCCCGTGCCCGCCGTGCCCCCCTGTGCCCAGGTGTACCTGCACAGCATTGGCATCACCCACCGGGACCTGAAGCCTGAGAACCTCCTGCTGGACGAGCGAGGTGAGCTCTGTGTTCCTCCCCCAATGCCCCCAAGGCTTTATCTTGTCTTTTGATTTGCTTTATCCAGTTACATTTTATTGGGTATTTTTAATTTAAATTTTCTTAATTTAAACTTTCATTTGCGTTCGTGTTAGAATTTTTAACTTCGGTTTTATTTGTGTTTTGATTGTAGTTTGAACTTGAAAATCTTCATTTGAATTTTGAGTTTGAATTCTAATCTGAACTTCTAGTTGAAATTTTTCCTTGAATTGAAATTTTTTTTTCTTTGAATTTTTTCTTTGAATTTTTATTTTCCGTCTTCAGTTTTGACTTTGAATGCTTAATCAGAAGCTTTCATTTGAATCTGTAACTAAAATTTCATTTGCATTCTAAGTTTATTTTTAGTTTTCATTTTTAATTTAATTATACTTTTCTTCTCAATTCAAATTTGTAACTTAAAATTTTAACATACTTTTAATCTTTAATTTTATTGTTGCTCAAATTTTTAACCTAAATTTTAAATTGGAGCTAAAATTGACAATTATATTTATTTCTAATTTTTATTTTTTTAATCCAATGTCTTATTTCATTTTTTTCCCTCTTCAAATATGCAATTTAAAATTTTCATTGATTTTTTTTATTTTGCATCCTTCTATCATTTAGATTTTAAATTCAAAGTTTTAGTTTGAATTTTCAATTTTACGTTGAATTTTTAAATTTAAATTTCATTTTGGATTTTTTGATCTAAATTTCATTTGGGGTTTTTGATTTAATTTTCAATTTCAATTTCATTTTGGATTTATGATTTAATTTCAGGCTTTGAATTTAAATTTAATTTCCAATTTTTGATTTAAATTTTGTTTTGGATTTTTGATTTAAATTTCATTTTGGATTTTGAATGTCAATGTCATTTCAGATTTTTGATTTAAATTTCATTTTGGATGTATGATTTCATTTCAGTTCAGGCTTATAAATTTAATTTCCGATTTTTGATTTAAATTTCATTTTGGGTTTATGATTTCATTTCAGGCTTAGAATTTAAATTTAATTTCCAATGTTTGATTTAAATTTCATTTTGGATTTTTGATTCAATATTCACTTCAGGTTTTTGATTTAAATTTCATTTCAGATTTTGGGTTTATGATTTCATTTCAGGCTTAGAATTTAAATTTAATTTCCAATGTTTGATTTAAATTTCATTTTGGATTTTTGATTCAATATTCACTTCAGGTTTTTGATTTAAATTTCATTTCAGATTTTTGATTTAAATTTCATTTGGGACTTTTGATTTAAATTTCATTTCAGATTTTTAATAGAAATCTCTTCTTTTTTCAATTTAATCTTCATTTTTTACTTTGAATTTAAATTTCAGATTTTGAATTTGAAATTTCATTTCCGATTTAGAATTTAAATTTCATTTCTGATTTTGAATGTCAATGTCATTGCAGATTTGCAATTTAAATTTCATTGCAGATTTCAGATTAAATTTCAGATTTTGAATAGAAATTTCTTTTTTTTTTCCAAGTTAATCTTCATTTTAGACTTTGAATTTAAATTTCAGATTTTGAATTTGAAATTTCATTTCCGATTTAGAATTTAAATTTCATTTCTGATTTTGAATGTCAATGTCATTGCAGATTTTTGATTTAAATTTCATTGCAGCTTTCAGATTAAATTTCCTTTCAGATTTTGAATAGAAATTTCTTTTTTTTTTCCAAGTTAATCTTCATTTTAGACTTTGAATTTAAATTTCAGATTTGGAATTGGAAATTTCATTTCCGATTTTCCATTTAAATTTCATTTCCAATATCTAATGCAAATTTTTTGGTTCTCAGACAACCTGAAGATCTCAGACTTCGGGCTGGCCACGGTGTTCCGGCACAACGGGCGGGAGCGGCTGCTCAACAGGATGTGTGGCACTCTGCCCTACGTGGCTCCGGAGCTGCAAAAAGAGCGTCTGCTGCAGCCGGAATTCCGCGCGGAACCCGTCGATGTCGGGGCCTGCGGCGTCGTGCTGACTGCCATGCTGGCAGGAGGTGGGAAGTGGCAGGGTGGGATCAGGGATGGATGGAATGGGAATACGCCCCTAGGGACGCGCGGAATGCGTCGGGATGGGAGTGCTCCAGGGATGTGGGGGAAGAGCTGAGGGGGTGCAGGATAGGGGGGATGTAGGGAATGCAGAGGGGATGGATAGGGAATGCAGAGGGAGGTGTGTATGGAACGTGGCTGGGTCTCTATGGAATGCAGAGGGGATGGATAGGGAATGCAGAGGGAGATGTGTATGGAACGTGGTTGGGTCTCTGTAGGGAATGCAGAGGGGATGGATAGGGAATGCAGAGGGGATGTGTCTGGAATGCTGAGGGGTGTAAGGATGGAATGGGTGTGGGGAGGTGTGTGCAGTGCACCCAGCAGTGTTGAGGTGGGGAAGGAGCACGTGGGAGATGGGGAGAATGGTAAGATGCACAGTGGGATGTATGGAATGCGTAGGGGAGGGAAATGTGGAAGGCAGAGGGGAAAGATGGAAGATCTGTAAGGGAGATGTGACATACGTGGAAGGGGTGTATGGAATATCTGTGGGGATGTAGGGAAGGCATAGGGGGATGTGGGAGGGGATGGGGGAGATGCACAGGGGAGGTATGGAATGCGCAGTGGAGGTTTGGGATGCATGTGGGGAACAAGGGATGCATAGGGAGGCACGGAATGCACGGGGAGGGAAGGTTTGGGATGCATGTGGAGTACATGGGATGCATAGGGAGGGAAGGTTTGGGATTCATGGAGAGAACAAGGGATGTATAGGAAGATATGGAATGCATAAGGAGGGAAGGTTTGAGATGCATGGTGGATACAAGGGGTGCA